CCCCGGAAACGAGCGTGAAGAAGCGCCGTCGCCTCGCGTTGCGATCGGGCATGCGCGCGCAGCGCTCCTGTGGCGCTGCACGCTCTGACCCGGCTGATGCTGCCATCACGCCGGTGACGAACAGACCGCGATTCATAATTGAATCCGGAACAATATCCGTTGTTACATTTGGCGCAATTGTTGATATCATTACTTTTGTAGAGAAGATAGTTTTGTAGAGAAGATATTTTTGTAGAGAATATACTTTTGCAAAAAAGAGTAACAAAATATATTCGGTTGAATTGGAGTTTATACTTGGTGCTTTTTTACTATTTTTTTTAAAAGGTACGTTTTTATGCGATATCACACCTTTTGTAGTGTGTAATATCTCGTACTGTTTATCACAAATTAATTGTGCACAATTATTACTATACAGTTATATAGGATGTCTTAAACTTAAAAATTGATGGCCATTATTTTAGTGACGCATGTACCATTAGCATTAAGTAGAAAACTCGTTGAGCTATTACAAATGTCACAATGTTAAAGGGTACCTTCTTCTTATGCAAGTAAAAATTTTCTAAGGTTTTAAAATTTTTAATTGTAAAATGTACCTGAAAATTGGTATCAAATATTTTAGCGGCGCATTTAAAATTATTATATGACTAAGCATCAAGTAGATTTAACTCGTATACAAGTAGAACGGTTGAACAGAAAAGTACTATATTTTGTAAAATATGCAATAGTTATCGAGTAATTCTATAAAACGTTTGAGCAAATAAGCACGAGGAAAGAAATAAAAAATTATGTATCTTTAAAACTACCGGAATCTGTTATCAACGACTTTTTTAAATTCAATGGGGAAAAAATAACTAATCACATTAACAATACAAAAACCAATCTAATTAACAAATTCAATAAATTGCGCCAAAAACGCAACCCGTTTATGAACATTGACCGCTCAAAATGGACCGTGAATATTAGTAAAAAACAGATACCGGATGACGTCCTATTCTGTCTAAGTTTAGGTGACAGATTTGGCCTACCTATTAATGCCAATAATAAAAATGATCGGTTGGACTCTGTATTACAGGTAATTAAAAATTTTGAACTCAACAGCCATAAGATATCTGAAGACGCAGCCAATGAGACTCGCGGTTCATTTACTTAATTTTTTTACCAAAAACAAACATATCAGCCATACAGACAAACTTATAACTGACTCTTTCCGGAAATGTAAAAGATTTGTGATTGATAATGACGACGTTTTTGTAACCAACGCTGATAAGGGACAGGGCACGGTTATCATGGACAGGAACGATTATATGGACAAAATGAAGACACTTCTGAATGACAATAATACCTACATTAAATTAAAAAAAGATCCTATCAACCTCATAAAAAACAAATGTAATGATCTAGTTAAATCGTGGCGGGACTTGGGTGTCATCGAAGAGTACACATATAAACAGCTACGCTGCACAAATGGTAACCTGCCCAGGTGCTTTGGATTGCCAAAAGTGCATAAAGCCGGTTTCCCTTTACGTATTATTGTTTCTACAATAGGCAGTCCAACATATAAGATTGCAAAACTCCTTAGTGATATTTTACAAGTGTCTGTCCAGAAACCCCTTTCTCATGTCAGTGATAGCTGGACCTTTGTACAAAAAATTAGAGAAATCAAAATTAACCCTGACCAATCCATGGTGTCATTTGATGCCACTTCTCTATTCACAAACATTCCGAAAGAGCTAGTTATCAAAGCGATAGAACGAAGATGGAACACGATTTCCACCAATACCGGCCTTAATTTACAACAATTTTTACGTGCAATCGATTTAATCTTGAGTTCGACCAGTTTTTCTTTTGACTCACAATTTTATGACCAAATTTTTGGTAGTTCTATGGGCTCTCCACTCTCACCCATATTAGCTGATATGGTCCTTGATGACCTAGAGACTCATTGCTTACAATCATTAAACATCACGTTACCAGCGTTCTTCAGATATGTAAACGACATATTCATTATAGTTCCAACTTTAAACATAAATGAACTATTGAACACTTTCAACAATTACCATACGAGATTGCAATTTACCTGTGAGACTGAGTCTAATGGTTCAATAAATTTTCTTGACACAACTGTCATTAGAAGTGGTGAAAAATTGTTAACTAATTGGTTCAGAAAACCGACTTTCTCGGGTCGTTACATCAATTTCTTTTCCAACCACCCGTTTAATTATAAGACCAACATTATTACAAACTTAGTGGATCGAGCCATTTTACTTTTGGACGAGCAGTTTCATGATTCGAACTTATGCGTGGGGTCTGATATTCTCGCCAACAATTGCTATCCTACACATGTCATCAAGAGGTTTATTAACAAGAGACTAAAAGAAATAAAACATAGAGTAATCACAATAGACACTAATAAAAATAGAAATAAGAATGATTTTTTCGTTAACAAAAGCATTATAACTGTTCCTTTCATTAAAGACATTGGTGAAAATATTCAGAGCATCTTAAAAGATCGTGGTTTTTACCCCGTTTATACCATCCCAAAAAAATTGAAAAACGTCATTAAAAAAGGGAAGGATAAACTGGATAATCTCAAACAAACCGAAATAGTATATAGGATCGAATGTAGAAATTGCGATGCATGCTATGTCGGACAAACTAAGCGACACTTGGCGACTAGGATAAAAAAGCACCAGTCGAACATTCGGAAGAACTCTGACAACCACTCAGTAGTTAGCAAGCATCGTGAATCTCTAAATCACGATTTTGATTGGTTCAATCCTACAATAATACACAAAGAGAAATACACCAAGAAAAGAGAAATAGCTGAAATGTTTCTCATTAAAAAGGAAAATAAAACGATAAACCTACAGAAAGACACAGAAAACCTTTCAAAGATTTATGACAAAATAATAAGAATTGTATAAACGGTAACGCCTTTGACCTCCCTTCGTCAGAAGAGTGAAAACTATTAAGTGGTGTGGATGTCTGATTTCGTGCTCGATTATTCCACAGATGCTCTTAAATTGGAAAAGAAAAAATTTTTTTTACTTGTACTTCATTTTGACGAACATTGCTAGTAAGTTTTTACATATTCACTTTCGTTTTGCGTTATAATGTGTGCGGATATTATTTTAAAGAAATGTAATGTTAGTTCATAGATTCCACTTTTTGCTGCCACAATTGTCGAGCTAATGTTTGACTCTTGTTCGTTTCTTGTAAAAACCTGAAGAGGATCGTAATTCACGATCGAAACGTCGTTAATGTAACTGTTGTAGTACGTTGTAGTAAATATAATAATCTAGACGAGCCTAATAATACGCGTAGCGCTATCTCTCCGATTGATAGCGCAACTCATTGTCAGGGAGCACGCACTGCGTGAAGCTAGCGCCTTGCGCACTGCTGACTACCTCTCTCTCGTCTGTCGACCGCCTTGGAGTGCGGAAGCAAGAATCAAGTTTGTACCCCTGTGTTAAGTATTCGAATATATTGTTGTGGAAAAAGGCAGCATTTATTCATACTCAACCTCTATACATCCTACATGGTAGCAGAGCGTGGTTCGCTGAATAATGGACCAGTATCAGAGTCAGGATTATTAGAACTTCCGGTCAGAGCACGTGGCGGAACGCAAGTATAAAGCGCGTGGCGATTTTGGAGAAAGATGGAAATGGCGAGACAAGCGAAAATCGAAGACATTATGATTCCTGTATTCGACGGAGCAAATTATACAAGCTGGAAGCTGCGAATAATGACGTTATTGGAATACAAGGAATGCAAAGAACAAGCGACGAGATACATGAGTGCTGGTGAAAAGGATGTAAATGACTGGAAGAAAAGGGACTTAAAGGCGAGAACGATGTTAATGAGCGCTGTATCAGACAAACAGCTGGAATTTATTGGAGAGTGCACGTCAGCACACGACATGATACAAAATTTCGACAAGATATACTTGACGAAATCCACGTCACTACAAATAATATGCAGAGGAAGACTTGAAGAAATAAAATTGAAGAATTTTGATCAAGTAGACGACTTCTTCGTGGAGTTCGAGAGAGCGGTAAACGAGTTCAAGGCAGCTGGTGGAAAAATAGAAGAAACCGAGAAGATGAGGTACTTGATACGAGCACTGCCGCCCAGCTACAGTTACATAGGAGATTTCATCGATATCATTCCGGAAGAACAAAGGACGGTTGACTACGTTAAATCAAAAATTAAGGAGAAAGACATGGCAAAAAGCGATGCTGAAAAAAGAAGCAATGTAAGTACTTTTACAGCAAAATTTGAAGGCAAATGCTTTCTATGTGGAAAAGCCGGTCACCGACAAAAGGACTGTTGGAATCAACGAGGCCACCAGGGAAGCCGAGGCAGAGGTACTCAACGGGGTCGCCCCAACTACGGCCAGAGAGGCAACTGTCGAGGCAGAGGCACTCAATCCAACAGAGGTCGAGGCGCAGGAATGTATCCGAGTCAACACAGAGGCGAGCAGCCAGCAGAGCAACATACCACAGGATCAAAACAAGCAGAGTCAACCGAAG